GGGCTCAGAACAACTGCCATATTCTATTTCTACCGTTGCGCTATAGACTTTGGTTCCTGTACTTAATTACGCTGTTATTTTATTTGATTTGAAGTCGACCATCGTTTTATCCATAAGAAAATTCTCATAAAAGAAAACTCTTTCCTAAAGCTTTTAATTGATTTATAAAGACAGGCGACTTTGGCGATCTCTTGTGTCGGAGGCCAAGACCCTCTTTGGGTCGATGCGCCAGCGGAGTAAGTATAAAGAAAAAACTAATAACGTTATAAATGAAGATCGCATGAATTTTGTCTTAGTCTTTCACATATTTTACAAATAATTTTAATGACAAAATTGGTAAAAATCGTTCCTGATAAGTTTGGTTCGATTCTCAATACCATTCTCGCAATGCAATAAGAAGTGTTTCCCACAGATACATATAAGACTGCCAATATATTTATTTACGATCTTATTTCCAATATCCCACCCTCATGAGAGGGAATTTTCTTCCCCTATTCCCATGGACACCAAGGGTCCGATATCGAGAGATATCTCGTAGACTGATTAGTTCCGCTTTATATGAGCCGCTGTAAAAGGCGCGTAAACCTCTAATTTGAGATTTACGATGTCATATATCAAGAATGTTTGGACGCATTGTAGTAATGGAACCAAGAAACATTGACTGAGAAGACAATAAATCAAATAACTTTAAATACAAAAATAAATAAATATTTAATATCACCACAAAGGATCTACCACAGTCGCAGTGTAACTTTTAGATAATGGAAGATTTTATCGTAGTTAAAATTTACACACGTACAATTTTTTTTCCATCCCCGATTTCTAAGCGCATATCAACCATTTCTGCAAATTTCGTCGTGGTAGATAAAAAACATTTTTGGTTTCTGACAAATTAAAAGTAGTACGACGTAGGTCCTTATGAAAATTTCGTTTTACATAGGCATAGTAGTAGATCGTTTTATATAGGTACTTATGTAATTGCTAAACAGAAAAATTAATAACAGTGACTAAACATGCTTGTTATAAAAATATGAACTATTAGCTGTCGTCCGCGACTCCTTCCAGGCGGAATTAAAAAAAAAACCTAATAAGTAGTCTATGTTTTCTTCCAGACTATGTTCTAAGTCAAATTTCAACGAGATCCGTTGAGCCGTTCCGGAGATACCTTCAAACAAACATCCATCCTTCTAAACATTCGCGTTTACAATATTAATAAAATTGGTAAGATTACATTTGTTAAAAAAAAAGATTTTGTTCATATTTTTACCATTAACTAAATACTGTGTTGGAATTTGTATTATCTGATCATATTACCAAAATATAATACATATAAAATAAATACCTACATGTTTATGCGCTTTTCATGATCCGATCACGTTATTATGTATCATGTTATTTATGTATATACTGGAGATGACCAAACGGAACATTCTGTTTTCCATTAATCTCCAATTTGACTCTGATTAAAAAAATATATTTTGCACACATTTAAATGTTTCCTTTAACTAGAATTAGTTAAGTGTTTATACTCACGGTTTAAATTTAAAACAGCAGCACGGCACCCTAAATTTGTTTGATCGGTGTTAAAATCCTTGCACTAAAATTGTATTTTAATATTCTTACACTAAAACTATATTATATTTACATTAAAAATTCCAACTAACTATTCACGACTACATTTCGTTGTTAATACATCCCGCGCGGTTCTCTTCTCTATTTTACACCTATTTTTTACTTAATATAAAAGGCAAAGATTCTCAGTGGCCAGTATGCCACCTCTTTGACAAAATGTTAATCTATGTCCACGAAAGAGTTCGGATAAGTAATTCCCCCCACTGACACTCACTTATTGATAAATGCCGTTATCAACACTAAAAGAATAAAACTGGATTTAGCTAAAAATTAACTTTAGACCCCATCCGTACTCGTACGTAATCTATAAATATGTTTTTAACAGAAGGATCTGGAAATCTAGACTGTAGGCATAATTCTCTATCGGTATTTCACAAGAGATCCTTGTATCATTTGTCTAAACCAGTGTAATTTCATTAAATATCACACGATTGCCTGTTTCTAATTATTTATATCTGAACTTTCTTTAAATATGATATACATGTTTTAAAAAATAAGATGTTAATATTAAAGAGTTAGAACTCAGGCTTGGTAAGAACTCTTTGCATTGATTAAAGGCTTTAACTGCTCAGGTTTTTTTTTAATGACATTTATTCCAATAACATGTTTTGCAACAACGCGACATTTCAAAGCAGATAGTGTCTAAGATAGTTTGAATGAATTTTATTCGTGAATTAGACACAACTTCGTCTAAATACCATTAAAATAACTTAGAATGGTCAAATTACGTAGTTCCTTCTAAATCCTTTCATTTTTTTAATACAAAATGTTGTGTCTCCGTTGATTTTACAATCCATTATTGATTTCATTGTATATGTACACAATAAAAGGAATGATTCTGAACAAAATAAAACCCCAAAAGCAATACCGTTTACGATCCCGAGGAAGGCAATAGGCACGCAGCATTATGCAAGACATGCAATTTTCTTGGCGTACTTTATTCTCATTTTTATAGGCATCTCTACTTGAGTAATGAAAAACTATTAAATTGTCCGCGTGGGGATAAAGCGAGGGTCGCTGGGACCTTTCAGTTTTATTGCCGTCCGACGAATGGCGCTGTGCTATTTTTACAGCCCCCGCCAATTTGATAGCGCGGTAAAAGATGGCAACCGTCGTTTACGACCGGGAATAAACATAGGAACGAAATCCAAAATTCTGTCCTCGTCCGTAGGTAAATAATGAAGAAAAATATTCTTAATCATACATTACACAAGATCTTGTTGCCGAAGTTTTTATTATAAATGATTGATTGTATTTCTGCGACAATGTTGCAAGCTCATCGCCCTGATGTGAAGAATTCATCAATTACATAGAGACAAAGTCTAACGCAATTCATTTCTAAGATTGTTAATGGTCACGTTACATTCACAGCAGGAATGCCATTGCTTAGGCACTTTGCGATTAAAGTATAAATAAGAAAAATAGTTGATAAAACAAGTTTTCTCCCTGTAGAGCTTATTTAAGAATAACATCAATGCAGAGCTATAATACATACCTACATTTATCTAAAACTAGCTTTCGCACACGACTCCGTCCCCATAGATATATAAAAAAAACTTAATATATAGATAAGTTAAATAAAAGCAGCTCTTCAAGGCATAAATACGAAATAAAATAAAAAAGAATAAATAGTATCCTATGTCCGTCTCCTGGCTCTAAGCTACCTCCTCACCAATTTTCAGCCATATTCGTAAAGCCGTTCTTGAGTTATAAATAGTGTAACTAACACGACTTTCTTTTATAAATATATATTACTATCTACGAATGACTGCATAAATTTCTGCGCGTTCACAATTTTAACCAAGTGCCTCTCTATTTCTTTGTTAATTTTATTTTTATTTCAAATATAACAATAATGTTATAAAAAGCTTTTCCGCTAAACCACTTACGTGATTTTTATGCGTCGCACCTTTTTAACAAATTCATAATGAACAATTATACAAACTGAGAAAACCAAGAAACAAGAATTAAGCAAAACTCACAGCAAACTTATTTACAGCGATTTTGTTAATTCGACGTTATCCAGTTAAAAGGTGATATGATGGGGATATTTGCGATAATTTTGACCCCCACATGCATTATGCAAGAGAAAAACCATTTTTGAGGGCGTTTCATGTATAAAATTAACACAGAGTATGTAAAGAAATGTTTAGTTAAGTTATAGACATGCCAATAATTTAACTTTGTGATTATTGGAACCATTCAATGGTGTAATTACCACTTGCGTTGTCTCCTCATATTATACCGACCTTACAACCTTACCTGATTTTTAAAATACACTAGCTGTCGCCCGCGACTCCGTCCGCGCGGGATTAAATAGATGTTGGCCGATTCTCAGAACTACTCAATATGCTCACAAAATTTCATGAGAATCGGTCAAGCCGTTTCGGAGGAGTATGGGAACGAAAATTGTGACACGAAAATTTTATATATAAGATAAGTAAAATGTTAAATAAATAAAGCCATTATGGTGTTTACTCATTGATGATAAAGTCAATAATTAATTTTAAAAAAATCCTATAAAAACATGGCCACAATACTTTTTACAATCACAATAGTACATTTAATTAATGACTAGCAATTGCCTAGGATTACGCTCATGCGGAATTAAATAAGATCTTACCTTTCCAAAAATATTTCAAATTGGTTCAGAAGTTTCCATGACCGTATTGTATGATTATTTGCATAGAATTTTTTGGCCCATTGAGCTATTCCATCTGTCATCTGCAAGCTTTCTGGCCCGGTTGAGAAATATACGAACTAAAGGCCATAGTTTATTTAACAAGCTGGCACCAAATGACCTCTAGGTCCGTGAGTAACCCTTAGAAGTATTAGTGAGACTTTTGTTTTGCTGGCAAAACTAACGCACGGGGCAGGGTCAATTTAGGTGTATTTATGACTATGACGAAGGTATGGAAGTTTGACTGAGGTGTGGTACAGTTTCTTTATAAGTATCCAAGTATCGTAAACAGAAAAGAAACCATTGTAAGACCAACCAATATATCCGTGAAGAGTTTGGCGTTATTGCTGTCGCTGGCAAAACGAGCACTGGATTTTAGTCCGAAGTTACGATATTTAATTTATCACTAATGGGGACAATTTTTTATCTACAAATATCGACCATTTTATGATTATTAGCCTAAAAATCTCCTTGCTTACATTTTGTTTTTATTATAATAACATTAAGTTTAACAAACGTTGTCTTTTTCATTACTTAAATAAAAACTATATTACATAATGTTTTTGTACTTGGGCAAAGGAAACTTTCTGTAGCAAATGTTGATACTTATTATAATCTGTAATCCATAAAGAATAAACTCATTGTCTATGGATTTAAGTGCGCGGCTATTGGCTAACAACACTCCTTGTTTTGCTTTACCAATATGGCGCTGCTGCTGTTATGAGATGACAACATCGCAGTTTGTGTCCTATTTGTTATTATTAATGTTACAATCAACATTAAATAACTACCTCAAGATTACAAAGAAAATTGGTAATTGTAATGTAAGTTTCGTTAAAGTGAAGCCCAAGTTGTCAGTGAATTATACTTTCGAATGGGTCAGTGGGAAAAGTATATAGCTCCTGTAAAAATGGCGGGTGTGTTATCTTTATGGACTGTGTTTTCATTTCATTACTAATTCTTAGTCTTTGAGATTTGAGCAAAATCATCTATAAATCGAGTTGAAACAAACTTATATTACAACATGTGCCGATTACAAATTTGACAATTGGAGCAGTGACCGTTTTACGGAGTTAAGGCAGGTGTCAACGTTTTTGATGAAATTATCAGAATGTCACGCTGGGGAAGAGGCCGAGGTGGCAGCGTGGCTGTGCCGCTGGACAGTGCGCTGTTTAGAGAAAACAGCAATTGTCCCTCAGCCGCTCGTTCAGCGGGAACTGTTGGCAAATGGGGAATGACCAGTTTTACATCAATCAGAAGCGCTCCTTACGGTATGTATTAAAAGCTCAGCCTTAAGATGTTTATGTTTCAAAACATTGTTGTCGTCTTATTAGGCAAAGTATTAAAGCAATGTAAAACGTAAAATTTCGTAATTGTGCAAAATAACCATAAGTGAAAGTAACATCTGTCTAGTTGGAATCTTTGTTGGAATGTTTACTAACATGTCGAATTATGAAGATTTTAACTAAGATTTTCTATTACAGCATATAACAATGCAAAGAAGCCTGTTCAAGATCAAAATAGTCCTTTGACTGTGCCAGCTGTAGACACCGAACAACCTCCGCCAAAACCGAAGAAATTTTTTAAATCTCGCAATGCTGAAACTTTCCCACCTGTGCCTCAAATTGCTTATGCACCCCAGCAAGTACCACCACTTTCGCCAGAACATCCACCAAGTTTTAAGGAAAAGAAATCAACTAAAAGATGTAGATATAATAGAGACTCTTCTTCACCAGAATTACCTCGACGTAACTCTGAAAAAACAAAAACTAAAAAGACCACAGTGGCTACTAAAGCTTCCAAAAAGGAAGAACCCACCAGTGACAATTCACAACCACCAAATAAACGATATTTAGTGCGTAACCGTAGCAAAGTTATAAATTATGCAGAGGATGGTAGCAACAGTCCCATACCAGATATGACAACTCGTTATGAATCATTACCACCAAGGGCACAGTCACCCAAAGCTAGTCCGTTAATTTCCAGTCCAGTGCCAGCAAAGCCAGTAGCAGATGTAGTCAGCCCTTCTACCAGTAAAGAATTAAATGAAGAGCGTAAACCACCACCTATTGTACTCAGAATATCAAAAGGTACATCAAGAATAGTAAGCACAGACTCAAATGAAGGATTTACATCTCCTGGTTCTGATAGACATTCTTCTATGGACATGCATTCTGATTTGGATCATAAAAAGAGTCCTTCAATGGAAACAATTTGTTCACCTAAGCATGAAGGCCTTAAAATCACAATTAAGTGTTCTTCTCTTAATCAAGAAAATAAGAAAGAGAAGAAAAAGGACAAAAAAGAAGGACATCACAAGTCCCATAAACGGCATCACAAAAATAGTGATGATGAACCCCTTAAGAAAGCCAGTTCCCCATTACCAGGCACTGATACATATGACCTGTATAAGACCTTAGCTTCACCTGTTCACGAGGAGGAGTCAAACACTAAAACAAAAGCTGAAAATGTTGAGGCACAATTGGCTAAGATCATTTCTACGGATTCAACAACAAAACCTAAAACTGAATCGAAAGCTCTTTTACCTGAACCAAAACAACCTGAGGGTAGGTCTAGACGCAATAGGCCAAACATTAATTACAGTGAAAATGATGATTATTTAGATGTGTTAACATCAAAAGTCTCAAACAAAAATTCTACAAAGACTGTTAGTGATATTAAAAAAGATGTTAGAAAGAGTAAGAGAAGACTCGATGTTGCAGCAACTCCAGACTCAAATGATGTGAATGAGATTCATTCAGAAACTGAAAAAGAAGCCGAATCTCATTATGACGATGATGATTTGATCAACATTCTGTCAGGTGATAATGATAAAATTAAGTCTAATAATGACTTGCAAAAAGCAAAAGTTAATAAAAAACAAAAGAATAAACAAAAACAACAGAACTCTACCAATGATATTCAATCTCCAAATCCTGAAGATTCTTTAAGTGTGCCACAACTCGATGAAAGTTATGATGAGGATGAACATTTGGCAGAAGAGCCTAGAAGTGATGATATGGATTATGAAGATGACGGAGGAGTTCAAGAAGAAAAGGAAGGAGAATCTCAGACTGAAAAGGCAATGGAACAACAGGAAAGAAATCATCCATCAGATCTTCAACCTGGGAGTCAAATGGAAGGTCAAGGAATAGATTCAAATGAAGATCTATGCCATAATACACCAACTCAGTCATCAGATTCTGCATACAATAGTTGTCCCAATGAGAACTCAGAGGAAGAATCACAAAGAAACATAGCTGATGATCATTTTAAAGCTCCGAATGGTGTAAATGAGCTGGATGGTACAGATGATAAGCCAAGTGTAAAGTTGGTAATAACGAAGAAGAAAGGCTCTATATTTAAGAGCAAGTCTTTGGTTAATGATAACCCTTCTCCATTACCAGCTAGAAAAAGACGGCACTTGTACAGACATCAGTGGGCTAATGATGTGAGTATTAGATTGAAATACATAATAACTTATTATTATTACATAAAATTTATTAACATGTTCCATGCCACAATTTTTTTTTTAATGAAAGAACTTGGTGCACTGTATGTGATGGTGCATATAAAATATTATTGGGTTCCTCTGTGCCATGTTCTTACAAACATCTTAATGATGAATCTCACCATGACCTTCCCTAACACTGCTTTGTTAGACTTTTATAATACTTAAAACATATTCTTATAGAGTAAATTCACACTCTGAAAATATTTAATATTTGCTCAGTGAAGTTTGCAAGTGGTGTCAAGTATTTTATATTTTGTAAATAATTTCAGTTATAAATGAAAGTTTCTATATTGTTTGAATATAATCTTAATGCCTTTTTTACTTTTTAGAAAGGGAATGAGACTCCAAGACCAGACAGGCCAGAAAACCCTGAAGTGAGTAATCCTGTCCGTCAAGTGCCTGAAGCATTAACTAGAGTCACAAGATACAGATCTCCGGATCCTATTATAGCTGAAATAGATGCTCCCGAGCCTGGAGTACCCTATACAAGTGTTCGTTGTGCCAAAGAAGCTAAGGAAGTGAGTATTATGAAATAGAATTGGTAATGAATAAAATTCTATTGTTTAATATTAGACATTTCAATGCTACTATAGTATTGTCGGTCATTTAGAATATAAATGTTTAATAACCCTGCATTGGATGACTTTTGCATATTGCAAAACAAAACATGCCTAAAATTATGTGGTCTCAAGTGTTTGATATGTTAAAACTTTTCTTGTTTCCAGTATTACACTGTTGTAAGAAATGTAAAGAAAGCACATCAAATTCAAGAAATTGGAGAATTCCAAGAGTTCAATGATGATGTGGAATACCTTCTAGATGCACTGCAGGTAAGTTATTATCTTATATATAAAATTATTGTGTCACAGTAATAGTTACCATACTCTGATATGGCTAGACCAATTTATATGATATTTTTTAGTTAATTCTATAATCCTGCGTGTTGTAATTAATTAAATTTTTTATTTGATTAATTAGTAACATTACTTGTTATTAAAATTTTTTGAAGCAAGTCATTAAATGGTTATTTATGTTGTCACAAATATTGTAACTAGTTTTGTTTATGTAGTTAAAAATATTTGTTTGTGTAGGACAACAATCCGATGTCAACACGTTGCTTGTCGGCCATCACGCTGGCCAGCAAATGCACAGCGCCCGCATTCCGCATGCACTTACGAGCGCACGGCACAGTGCAGAAGTTCTTCAGTGCCCTTCACGATGCCACCAATGATCAAGTTAGTATTAAACCTATACTAAATTAAAATAAACAAGCATTGATTAAAGGAAAGCAATCCATCCACAACTCTCTCAACATCTCTGGGAATTGAGGTGCCCGCTTACTTGTTTGCCACCTTATGATACAAAAAAAACTATGAAGAAACTTATGAGTATAATTTCTAATCTTTGTTGAGAATTTACGTCGTCGAAAAATTATTAAAACATGTTTTTTTTTGCAGAGCCTGGGGCTGTGTACTGCCACAGTTATGTTTGTACTGTCACAAGACCGTCTAAATATGGACTTGGACAGAGAATCATTAGAGCTTATGCTGAATCTTCTCGAATCTGATGTTTCTCACAAGTGAGTAGCATTTTGGATAGAAAATGTCCAATATATTTATCAATAATGTTTGATAGTTCATAGGGGTTCCTTAATGTGGTTACATTTGTTAATTTCTTTTTCAGGAATGCCTTAGATGATTGTGGGTTGACATCGGCACAACTTGCAAAGACTCAAGAAAGGGTCAGAGAATTGTGTGCTGAGATTAAGAGCCAAGGAAAGGCGACGCATTTAGACTTGGAGAATATAACTGTAAGTTGTTTTATCAGTTTGAATTGTTGTCATTATAATATTCCGTTCCACCAGTGTTTAGACTTCTCATGCCATTCTTATATGTAATTAGTATTATGAGTAACAAAAACTTATCACAAAATATCTGTGAAAATGCAGCCGATCCATGCAGACAAGAGTTTTACAATTATGATGTGACGACTATGAACGACATTAATGTCTTAAAAAGGGATGCCATAGTCATTTTTTTCGGGTTTACATTTTATAACCTATTTAGAGTTATCTGGAGTGTAGTCAATAATTTTTTTTTTTTTCAGGTTGGTCACTTAGCAATGGAAACGTTACTATCGTTAACATCGAAGCGTGCGGGAGAGTGGTTCAAGGAGGAATTGCGCGTGCTGGGCGGCGTGGACCACATCGTACGCACCATACAAGACTGCGCTGCTCGCTTGCACGCGCCAGCCACAGCCTGGTCCAGCGCAGAGGTCGACGTGCTCCGCAAGGCCGACAGGTGCATGAGGGTTTTGGAGAATGTAAGTTTTAAATATATATATTTAAAGGAAATTGTGGCCCTAAGGATGTTGGCTAACCTTCAAAAACTACTTTCTCAAAACTTGTTTCTTGCTGTTGTTGTTGTCAGTTAAAAGATGGCGCTGTTATTAAATATTTTAAAGGAACGTCATAAAATAAGTACTCCTCATTGTACACCTACTATGCGTTTAGCCTAACCAAGGATATAAAAAAAAACTTCTAATTTATTGTCTTGGAATTATATTAATTTTCCTCGGTTTGTCACGGCTGCAATTTATGAAATTTGATGTTTACTTATTTAAAAGATTTATGCTATCATTAGGAATGTGTGTTTATGTACTTTCAGGTGACGCAGCAGAATGAAGATAACCAGGTGTACCTGGTGGGCGAGCCACTGGGCGGGGCACGCACGCTGGCCGCGCTGCTACGCCGTTGCGTGATGGAGGCACGCGAGCAGCCCGCCTTGCGCCCGCCGCTGCTGGATGCCGCACTGCCCGCGCTCAAGGTTCTCGTCAACCTCTCGCACAGCTTCGGCAGTGTCGGTAAGAAACATTCAGAACATATAACTATTGTACTTTTTACCTGGTATAAAATTCAGTCACGTTAATCTGCTTATATTATTCAGATGACGTTTATTATACAGACCATTAAATTTTCCATACGAATAAAAAAATATGTACGTTTTTTTATCGATTTAGAGTACCAATGTTGTGAATCAATATATTTAATTAATTTGTAATTTATTTACAGCATCGATAGGCGCCCAAGTGGTAGGAGAGCAGCCGTATATAATGGAAACCTGCTTAATTATGTTGTACAACCAAGGCTGCTTCATACCTGACAACAATAACTTCGAGTTTAGTGTTTGTGTAAGTTATTTTATTATTTATTTACCACTAATATTGTATTAATCCTTGGAGTGTTTCTGACTTGAGGACTTTTTTTTATTTTTAGATTTTTTCATATCAATTTCTTTAAATGTGATAGAAACAAATTAGAATTGATTTTCTGTTAGATTAAATAAGCTTGAATAGTTTTTTAATTGGGTTCATCTTCGGACTATATTAGATTTTCATCCACTATTTGTGATTTATTTTAATGAAAACGATATACTTTTCAGGTGCTTCTATTGTTGATAAATCTGGTCCAAAACAATGAGAGTAACACACAGAAACTGTTGGATGTTCACATAACAGTGGATAATGGGGACACATCAACAAACACACCTGCTTTGGATCTCATAGTTGATTTGTTTTATAAACGGGAAGAGCTCGCAAGGTAAATACTATATTTATAAGACAGGTATCCACTTTATCAGTTCGTTATATGTCCCCACTGAGAGGTTTGAAACCTAGCCTAAGTTATGACCGACTAGGCCATAGTCAACTTGACTTCACACATATCTTTGAATTTCTTTGCAGATATGTGCAGGTTGCTTGAGGATGTTTTCCTTCACCATTCACATTTGTAATACTAATGTTTAATTTCTAGGCGGGCTGAAGAAAATACTGATGCGCTGCTAGACGGCGAGAAAGAAGAGACTGATGATGAGAAAGATAAAAAGAAACAGTCGGTCGACGATATAGCGGAGACTGTCGATAAATGTAAGTATCAATCTTGTAATCTTGGTCCTATAGAGGACAACACTTAATAGCTGAAATGGGTTTTGTCAGAATTACATAAACTGATGACCAAATAAGTTCTTTGAATTTGGTTGCACTAACTATGGAATCGGCTCATTTACATTTTTATTTTATGGCATCATCAGTGTGTTTGATACGTTGATTGTATCGCAGTGTTGGCGCGAGCTGGTGCGCATATGGAGCATACGATGGTGTGCGCGTACATCGCGCTGCTGCTGGGTCACGCTGCGAGCTGCGCACGCGCACCCGCCGCCGCAGTGCGCGAGCGTGTGCCGCGTTACGAGCCTCTACTTCCCACGCTGCGGAAGTACTACACCTTCCTCTCCCTTACTGCAAGCGTGAGTATATACTATTTTTTTTAATATAAACAGATTATTAATATATCTTTTAACCATAGCGTGTGGCTCACGACGACAGTGGAATGTCGAGATTTGACGCCGCATCCAGGTCGGATAATCGTACCCTTAACTTTCAGGCAGATTTTAATTGTATTTTTATTTAAAATTCGATTTTTCCCGATTAATTTCGATTAAGAACACATCATATAAATTGTAAAAAAAAACTTAGAACAGTCTTCAGGTAGCTCAATAGAATCTTATATAGCAACTTTATAATTCATAAATCCATTTCGGTGAACATTTACTAAAGAATATTTTGCTATATTTCCAGGCGGAAGCTTCGATAGTTGCGCACGTGAAGGCGACGCAGAGAATAATAGAGTTTATGGAGACGAGTGACAAAGAGAGTTCTCAGGATACGCCTCAGCAGCCTCCAGCTGAATACCCTCGCCCCTACGGCAACTACTACCAGCCCTGTGCAGACCTACCGCAAGACATGTCCCTCAGCAACCTCAATTATACCATGAACTCCTCGTCCAGCTCCGACAGAATGTCATCATCGATGGATGTCGATGGATACCACTGAACCAACACACAGACTGCCTTATTTATTAATATGTTCGCACATTTGCAAAATAAATCAGGTTTGTAGCACTATGTCTTCTAAACAGTTCAGGCACATACTTTTAGATCTTAGAAAAGGAACAACATGGTCTGCTATATGTTTAGAATACGCTAATATTAACCGAGTAAAATACCTCTATTCATAAACCTACAAGACCTATATCTATTGATTTTCTTAAAAATAGTATATTACTTAATTTTATATAATCTATGAGGTCGACAAAAGTGCGTGTATTTTGTTAATCTACGAACAATTATCCTCAGTAGATAGTTTAATTAAGCACATGATTTAGTAAATAAATGATGCACCAACTAAATTATGTTATTTAGGATGATACGGAACGGTAAAGGGAAGAAACACAAAGAAGAATCTATGTAACAATTTTTTTTTTAATTTCTGTAAGTGACTGCGAAAAGAGGTGAGTGTAAATATGAACCAAATAAATAATTGATGTACATTAATAATGATTTTAGTAATATAATATGCCATTTGTAACGTGAGAACGACGATTTTGTAACTATATTCCTTTGAAATGTATATATAATTTTGTTTAGAGTAATATTTAGATAGAAGCGTTGATCGGTCGATCGTGCGTCGGGTTATGTTATGATCTTGATGAAATTGAGATATTCCGAGTTTAAGCCTGCAAACGGCGAATTGAAAGTGCAAAATGTAGTATTAAGTTTGTAAATGGTGAACATTTCTCATGTGAATATTGTTCGCACCTCGTACTTTGCGGATGTTACTTTGAGGCACAATTATATTGTAAATAAATTAGATAGAGTTGATAGAGTTTGCGTTGTATGTATTAGATCGAGATGTATGTCGGATTTGCCTTACAGACGAGCGAAATTATAATGTTTCGTATTGAACGTACAAACATATAGAGGGCGCGAGTATCGCTTAGATAAATTATAGGACAATCTAATGTTGGAATTAAATTAGCTATAGAAATATCGATTCAACTGTTTGTATATGTTTATATATTATAGATATAGTTTATGTAAACATATACACACATATTATAATTTTGTCGTGTTTCTTGTTTCAGAATAATTGGTTGTACTTTTGTTGTAAATTAACATAGTCTCAAGATCACCATTTATGTAACTGTTTTAAAATAAATCAATCTATTTTTATAAATGACCGAGATGTGACTTGATTGATGATTCCGTCTATCGAATTGCGCCATTCTAATTATCAAAATTGATTATTACATTATTATTTGGAGATTTGCGTATTATATTTTAAGCGTGTATTGTCAATCCACGATAATTTTGCATAGGTTTAAAAAGGTCACTAACAAGTTTTGTTATTGTCAGAGATGTTTAGTAAACGATCAAACATATTTGACAAATTGCTATTCATCAAATAACTCATTTAGTTCACTTCACAGGCTTAGTTAGACAAAAATATTTTTTTATAGGCATTTAGCGTTATTACTAAATATTGCCACGTACAAAACTATCAATTTGTAAAATCCTTTGTAGAGTTATCGTGATTTGACAATATTTTCTCTACTACTTTACGCATTTTGTCGTAATTTTTTTTTGGGCAAATCCGTAATTGATTTGTTTTTACTATAAATACATTGTTTATTGTCTGTCAATTTACCTTAAATATTTATTTATTAGAAAAAAAATTAAATGTAGATTAACACTAATATCGAAATAAACAATCTATACTTTTTTTTTATGACAAAACAGTTTAAGTTTGTGACCGTGGGCATTTATAATTTTATCGCAGTGACCGAAAATATATTTTATTTGTATTTACAGATATAGTCTGAACATTAGCCATGAGATTATATTTAAGGAAACAGGAATATTTATGGCTAATAATATATAATGAACCTAATTAAAATTTATCACTATCTGAATTATTTTGTACATTTATTCCAACGCTTCTTAAAGTAGGAAGGTAACTTTATTTTTTATTAGTTTATTTTAAAGACAGACGAAAAAACAATGTGCTTATAGAGATTAAATTTTTGATATATTTTTTTTAAGTTGATCGGACAATGTTAGTCAAAAAGATTTTTAGACAGCTTTACTTAATTTTTAAGAAATTTTGACCGCTTTAATTCTAGAGTGCAGCGGCGTATGTAGTTTTAGTTTTATACATTTTTTTGGTGTTTCTGACCTGTATCCTTGAAATATCTTTGAGGTTTCGGGTTCGATTATCAAATTTGGGACCTTATTAAGTTTTGTGGAAAGCTGATAGCCTATTGCTGCTTATCCCAAATGGGGTAAACGACGTCTAAGGCTTTTATACTACTATTTCTCTGGGTGGTTTCTTTAGGTAGATACTTTTAGAGTTTGTTGTGTATTTGTAATGAGTTTAATTACCTAAATTATATTTATGTAATTTATTGCGCTATGTATCGGATAAGCTTAGCTGTAAAACGCATTTCGTTATAAAACACTTTGTCACACGCCTGTGTTTAAATTTAAAATATGTTGTTTCAGACTGTCACGAGAGTTTGATATCTTGAGAATTATTATTTTAAATGTAATGTGTAATTATGTTATAAAGTATTACATTAAAAGAACGATTTCATTAAACTTTGTTGTTTTTCTTATCTCCATATGTAAACTGAATGAAACTAATTGAACATCTAAAACATGTTTATTAATTTAAAATGAAATATTTAAATAATGTAGTTGATATAAAATAATTCTAATTATAACATTGAAATAGATAAAACAATTTATTGCAATATTCGTTCGTAAAGCAATTGCAATATTCGTAAAAAGCAGTGATTAAGGGACCGTACTCTAGACGGCTAAGATTCGAATTTCAGCTAACGGTATCTTACTGTGCTAGAGATCTAAAAAAGCGAATCTGTGTGAATGAAGCCTTTGCTATCTCTAAACAAGGTGTCAAAAAAAAATACGAAAGCGTATAATAATCACAGAACATTATAGCATTATTCATTCATTCATTAAAAATATAAGCGCCCGATTGCTTTCCTTGCTATACCTGCGGGGTAAGTCAAAGTGAATTCGCTTCGAAGCGATTTCATAGCAAACTTCAAAAATGTATGGATCATTCACGTGAATACTCATCGAAAGTTATTGTTAGTTCTATACATTTTTGAAGTTCGTTATGGAATCGCTTCGGAGCGAATGCACTTTGTCTAGTCCCGCTGAACATTTGATATACAAAGCAATCGATTATAATATAAAACAATATAATCTACAAAATCAACATGATTTATATGAGTAAAAGCTATACAAATTTACCCAAAGTAATGCGGTCAACAGCGTTGACATGTGCTATTGCAGGCGCCCGAATTCCTTGCCAGTCGCCGCTCTCGGTAAAGCGTTTGTTGATAGATATCAACTGTTCGAAATTAGCGCGGGCGAGCTTGTGCTTGTTTGCAACCTTACTTACCAGCTCTTCATCGTATACCGCCTCCGGATTTTCCAATTTCAAATGCTCCTTCATTTCTTCAACGGTGACCAGGAAACAGTTCCACGGAGACCAATCCTCTGCGACGTGCCAACGACACAATCTCAACTGAGACATGTCGGCACATTCGCTGATAGCAGAGTGAGAATGCCAGAGTTTCTCCACAATGAAGAATATATCTTTCTCCTGTAGGACAAATGCTAAAGATCCCCAGCATTTACGACGTCTTTCATCACGCTGAACGGCCCTAAGAATGAATCTGTAAGGAGTCATGTCAATCCAAAGTCTTTCGGTGACGTCCTTCCAAGAGCACGACATGCAAACGAGGAATCCACTCATTTTAGCATTCAACGGGAACTCAGTGTGTAACTTAACCTGATGGCACATTTCACAGAAGTACAGTCTTCCTTCCTCCATCTTTTGGTAGTCTCTAATATCCTTGCACTTAGTTACGCCCGAATTTAGCTCCGAGGTTTTTATTAGTTGTAATACGCTTGCAGAGATCCTTCGTCTTAAAAATTCTAATTGATGATCGTCGCATCTTCTTACAAGAAGGTCGCACTCTCTATCCAACAGAGCTACAATCTCGTCAACCAAGTCATGTGAGAATTCTTGAAGTGCAGCTCTCATATCGACGAGAAGCTCGATTCTTTCGTTTGCCTCCAAGTCGTCACGTAAAAAGGAATTATACAATTCTTTGAGCTTTCTCGCTTTCTGTATTTCTATGGTTTCCATCGTAATCAGTTTACCGTCTCTGCCGAACCAAGCGACTGGTTTTGATATTTCCTCCAAGAATTGTTTCTCTTTTGTCTTACGACTGTCTTCCCTCACTTTAAGTCTGTAAGATTCGATGCATCGCAGCAGCTCAACTTCTTTATCTAGGAGCAAAGTAAATTCTGCAATTTTGGGACCTTTTGAGTGCAGCCGTGAAATTCTTGATATTTCTCCATGTTTCCACCGGTCGACCTACACAAAAAGGCAATGTTTGTTTTTAATCTTACTAATATTATAATATAAATGCAAATGTTTAGATGGATGGATGTTTGTTTCAAGGTATATCTAGAACGGCTGCATGGATCTGGCTGAAATTTGTGCACGACAGCTAGTATAACAATAAATAACATAAAGTATGTTATAATGAAACTTATACAAATTTAAAAAGGAGTAGAATATGATACCATTGCGTAAAGCTGATCAAAGTCTTCTCGTGTTTTAGGAAAAGTTTTAGTGATGAGATCTCTTCGTAAGCGTCTCTCCATAGCCTCGCGTTCTAGTCTATCTTCTTCCTGCATCCTTCTTATTCTTTCTCTGAAAATCAAATATGTTTCAATCAAGTTTGAGTGTGTTATAAACAATTTTGTTATTTGTGCAAAATCTGTCCTCTTATTTATCTAATAACTAATGATTACATCATCGACTAAAGCAACAACAAAGATTACGTTGTCTATTTTGTGGCACGTACTTGCACTCTTTCAGCCATTTTTCCACCTTCTGTCTAAACTGGTGATGTCGGAAAGCGCGCTGTATGATAGATGCGTAATGTTTGTGGTTCAACCTCGCTATCATCTCATCGTAAGTCTCATAACGTTTAGGAATGATAATTTTGTCGGTCACACTAGGAATATACACTTTCTCGTTGGCCATTTGTGTAGCTCGATTGTAACTGGTTTCCTTTAATTAAAAAAAAATTAAATCAATACATCATTCTACATTACCAAGAAGCGTTGTGATCTTGCGAGACGGTTTTTAGTTTTTTTTAATGTTAACAAACTTAAGTATGACATGACATAATGCTAAAACATTTGAGAACCTACCAGAACTCTTTCGATTTCTTCAGCAGTTTGAGTATCTCTGCAGTTCTTCCTTTCCGGCGATACTTTCTCCGGCTTTTGAGGTGTTTGTGTGAAAGCATGATGATATATAACACCTTGAACGGAATGGTTTTAATTATTGTATGAAATAATTAAAATCTATTGTGTATTAGTTAGAATTTTGCTGTCAACTATTTTACTACCACGGTTACATTGTAGTCAATTAAAAAGAACAAAACATTTTAGTCGATAGTGCCATGTTTTCAGTAGGAGATAAGATTATTACCTGTGTGTATATTTTTATATCCACCCAGAAAAGGTTTTTCAATTGGCCTTGAGAATACTTCGACATTTAGTTGTCTTAAGCCGGTACCAAATGGCACAGTCACTGCCAAGACATCGTTCGTAGGCACTTCCTTATACAACTTGTCCAAGTTCAATTTTTTATTGTCCTTTGTCAGTAATTCGACTTCAACGATTCCGTATTTGTTATAGTCCAGGTCCAAAAGTGCCATTCGATCTTTCAGCGGATTTTCACCGCGTAATAGTACTAGGTTATCAGGGGCCACTTGAAATAATCCAGCTAAATTCTTTTTAATCTCGTGTATTTTTATAGCAGAGTGATACGATCTAGTAAAAATGCTCAATTGATTTCGGATTCTAAATTTTATTGCTATAAAAGGAAGAGCCCTTTTCTTCGGTAAGATCGACTGAAGAAGTTCATGAACGTAGTTCTCTTTGGGTATGGACGATAACGCAAACTTTTCGGAATCCTTTGTGTAAACGTCTATCGTCAAATTGCCGTGAGCGTCAGTTTTCAAGTTGGAAAGCAAACTAGTTTCCTTAAGTATGCTCCTATTTATAGTAAGCAGTAAATTGCTATTTGAAATGGATAGCAGCTTTGCCAATTTACGCTTTACAAATTTTATAGGCGTATTACTTGGGAAGACTTTACTGAAGGCTTCGTTAGGATGCATGGGAGATTTGAAAGTGACCAGGGTATGGCTGACGGGGCATTTGTATTGCTCGAAGTCTCGACGACAAGGGGCAGTGGAAAACCGAGATTTTGGTACATCATCTTGCATGGGACATGGACGGTATGGCGGTGCGGTCAATAATTTGTCGCGACCCAATTCGCACTGGCAACCTGCATTTTCGTTTTTACCTCCGAGCTCCGGGGATATGGAGATTATCACTTTATGTCCGCCCATTCTCACTGTTTTAATTAAATAAAATACAAACAAACAACTCCGAGAAAATGTTAACAAAATACCTTTAAATAGATAAAAGAAAAAGGGACTGAGCGACTAATTAATTGTTTATTTTTCGTAGCAATCGTTGCTAAGCAACTGACGTTAATTTCTTCATAGAGTAAAAAACATGTTTTTGTGAGATACAAAAGGTTTTTATAAATGTCTAATTACTTATTCCTTATTTCAAAGTTATTGATGGTAAAAATTGGAAGCCCCAAACAAGTTGAACACACGAGTCTATGGTAAAGCGTCTTAGATTTAAAGGTTCACATATTCTATACAGTGGGAGTTCTAAAACACTTGTATATATGTTTTGTATAGATGTTTCGGCAATGGGAACCCACGGATAGATGAGATTAATATGGAAACATGCTTATTCATAGCAGCATAGTAAAGATGATATAATATCGTAATCGACATGCGACAAATGAAATTTAGAATTGACATGTTATCATATGTCATCACATCATATTGCATGTATGAGAACGTTGTACGTGAATTCGACGATAAAGTAAATTGCAAGTACATTTCTTAGGTGCGCTCACAGACTCGCCTCTACATCTTGATAATAAAGGAAAACATACAACAACCCCGCGGGGCTCACTATGAAAATAGTTAAAAGAGTGAAAAGGTGCTCTATTAAGAATGAATTAACCGCTTAGCTTTTAAAACTGTAAACTCCTTTGAACATGTTTTTCAAAAGAATACACGTAGTGATTCTGGAAACGAGCTCTTGAAGCAATTTATGCTTTGTTTGCTAGTGAGATTAATTCTTTTCCAAAATCTGAAAATAACAGGAAATAAAATTAGAGAAATTGGTTATTATTAGAAGGTATTGAATCGAGAATATACATTGAAGAATTGGTTAAAGGAATTAAATGATAAATAAGGTAATAGAAACAATACATAAAGCAAAAAATGTCGAACCAGACCGATATTAAAAATGAAATCAATATTGTGTGAATAAACCTACTATTATTTGAGAAATTTTAACTTCATTACTGCTTCGATAAAAGTAAAAACTTATTGATGCCGTCATTTCATGAAAATAAGTAGGTATTCAATAGTTAATAAAATTGAGAGAACAATAAAATTACAGGGCAATAAAATATTGAATGTGCGAACCATATCCGCTGCGATATTAAATTCTACCGAAAACATAAAAATGATTTTCAGTCGTAAAACTATAATTTACAGACGTAAAAATGCGCTGACTTATATGTATATGTTAAGGCAACGTTCAGAAATGCACTGTAATTTTAAGAGTTTAAAAAATAAATCTACCCTATTTGTGTGAGTAGGACTCAAACTGAGCAATTATTATCAAAGTTCAAGCAAGTTATGTAACAATTACATTATCAAATAAACAAAATTAGCTTTCCTTTCCTTTGTATTAATGAAAATTACACTTTTGAAGAGCTTTTGATATGATTATACATGACATTACCTTAATATTGGAGTTGAACTATCCTTTGCAAAAAATAATTTGTATCGGCATCTCATTTGTCATTAAAGAGATGCATCCGAAGTAGTTTGTAGACTTGACTTGAAGACATTGCATTAGAAAAACAAATTAAATTAAAACGAACGGATGCACAGAGTAGGAAATAAGAGCGCAGTCAACTAATCCGTATCTCTAAACATCATTAGTCGCTCTCACGATCTGTGTAATGTTATCTGTAAGACGGAAACGAAGAAATAAGTTAACATTGCTATAAAAACCGTCTCCTAGAAGATTCTTTTTCAATTATCTATCTGTTAAAAACGTGTTAAAAATATTAATTTATAAAATTTTAGTTTCAAACCAGATTAATGCAATCTTTACGTGCAAATATTTATAGTTATAACAGATCATACACATAATATTGTTCTAAACAAACGAATAGTAGGTTTAAAAAAATGTTTGACTAAACTCAATATGTGCATAAACATAAGCAAAACTATTGCGGAAGCGGTGCTATCGTTGACCCGAGCGTTTATTGCATCTGTATCCAAAGGACGTGCGTTCTGTAAATACGTGTTTTAATCAAGCCTGTTGCTTCTCTTCCGTCCACCGCCGCCGCCCGCCGACGCCCCTCGCCGCGCCGCGGTCGCTGGACTTAGCAAAGAAAAACTTTGCATGCGTTTTATTACGACGGATGCGGAATTGCCGTGGGGTTTAATTTAGTAGTAGTCTGCTAGCAACGTCCTTTGGTAAATATCAAAAATACGATGTTGTATTTATAATTTGTGCACAGATCGTACTCAAACTATGAATACAGCGATTAGCAGAGTTAGGGCTGTTGATAGTGGCTTGCATCGAAATATATTTTTTTATAAAGAGACAGACTGGATAACCAATATGTCCTATCAAAGATTAATTACGGGATCCATTGCATACTTCATAAGTTCTTCTCTTTTTTCGCCATCTTGATGCCTTTGTTGAAGTAATCAAACTAGGATTATTTGTAGCCCGAACCTGGGAAAAACCCATGTTATTTTTCAAATTGGTTTCTAACAATTCAGATTGGTTATGCAAGAATAGAGCCATAAAGGCCTCACAACTGAACCAGATAGTCTTTCCAGTGCGATAATCGAGGAACAAATTTTATTGTGCCCTCGGGCGGCGGGAGTGGCCTAAGGCGGGCAGTGGTTCATTTGATTAAAGCCCGCCCGCGCTCGGAAATTATCAAACGAAACGCACCGACAGCCCAGCGGGCCGTGAGAGGCTGCATTAATAGTTTTTGTTGCCCCAACTCGGACCCGTTCCGTTTTGCAAGTTAAACTTTGGCAAATTTTTACTTTGTACGAAATATTCAGAATTCATTTCTCAATTCTCTTTTACGTCTCTATTAATGGTTATTCTATGTTTATAGTGTTTTAATAAATTGAAATGAACTAATTAAATAATAGTTTAACTAACGCGCAGTCCAGTGTAAGATCCGACTAGTTTCGAGGTTGTTGGGGACCTTTCTGGGATGACGGCAGCTGGGAGTAGTTCGCGGTTGCACCTCATCTCATGCTGAAAAAAATAAAATAAAAAGGAGTCAAGTTGTTGTTTGAGTGTATTTAGATAATGCAAAAAAATCTCGAAAACGCCAACGCAGCATAGATTGATATGAATTTAAACAATTACATCACAAAATTTTAAATAAATTAAATCTAAAACGAATATTTCTCTATTGTATAGATTTTCCATTCGCACCTAACGTTAATTTGTTTGTACAAATTTAACTGTGCGCCCACAAAACGATTCGATTAAAATTTATCCGTCTATTTCATTTGACAAAATGTTGATAACACTTTGTAAACTTTATTGTAATATCATACTCGAAAATTAATTTATTTGCGTTGATTTTGATAACGTACACTAATCTAGTAATTATGTGCATGGTATGATGTGTGATGATATCATTTGTAAGGTTTTAATATTTTAATAGCTCTTTATAATAGTTATTAAAACTTTTTTACCCACTCATAATATCATTGTAACGAAGTTATTTAATCTAATTTGTTTCAATTTATGATTCATAATAAAAACGAATCAATTAAACTTACGAGCGTTCCAATTATTTATTGCATGTGCAATGCATGAGCTAAAATATGGCTGAACTGACTAAAACGTGCACGTGGAACGATGACAAATATGATTACTAAAATGCCAACAGAAATGATTGTAACGGAGAGTGGTGAGTCAATACACGTAATGAGGTTTGATTAGTGAGGGTCGCGCGTGTTGGACGCACATTGAGTAATTTACGTGAATGTTCATTGTCGAAATATTTGTATAAAAAGATATAGCCATCTCTTTCACTCTCTTTAAAAAGTTGAGATAACAATATGTTTTTGACAGATGTTTCCAAAATGGAAACTGACGGTTGTAAACGTATACGTATGTTTGTTAGCTTCAATATTTATTTGCTCATTGATATGTTATGCAATTGAGTAAGTTAAATGAAAATTATTATATATAGCTGAATTACTTAATAAATTGAACAAATAATGTGTAGCAAGTTCAGAAAATATATTTTTTTGATGTTAGGGTAAACCTGCACGGGATTGCCAATCAAACAGTTGTATTACTTTTATAATACTTAAAGATAGAAAACGAACGATGCGAATATCAACCGTAGATTTAAATTGAGCCCAGACTTGACTAAAACACATATACTTAAGGCACTAATGATTATAAAAACTGTCCAGAATAAATCGTAATGACATGTCATTGAAAGCTTTAATCGGTCCATCATTAGCAGGTATTTAGCCTTTCCCGATTGCGGTATTCAGTCAATTTGTCGAATGAATTTCCACTCGGCTCAACGTCCGCCCCGAATGTGACGTATTAATTATTTATGAAATTAATAGCGATGGTAAAAACGATGTCTGATCCATCAAAGCGTCCGCGATCTTTATTAGATTACGCATCTCTGAGTGTGTCGGTCGTTTTGATGATTTGGTCATCAAACATTCATTAAATACTTTGCAATTTTATTTGTCGCTGTCAATACCTTTGACTTTGATAAAATATTGAAACGACCATTTATAAATGTTTATTTTTCAAGTATTACAATGTTTTTAACGCGAGTAAAAAAAAACAAAAAAATGAATTAAAAAAATTTTTAACTTTTAAAAATCTTTCAAAATCTAGAACCAGTAAATAAATTGATGGTTAGATGAGTCGAATCGAAGCATTATCTTTGACACAAGAAGTTGCCGTGCTATCAACAAAATAAATCCAATAAAATATTGGTCATATTCAGTACTAATGCAATGTTTGGATCAAATGTTTGTGTCACCTTGTACACGAGATTTGAATGTAGTTATTTCCAACGCGATTTCGTTGTAGGGATTACTTGGATTTTTGTGATGCGTAACATCGCGTCTGCTAACATGCCACACGAAGCTAATACATACTTTGGAGTTACATTGAATTTGTGTAGAGGAAAACGTGCCATTGAATATTTGAATTGAAACTTTAGTGAATATTTACACTAAATATTGTGGATGTTTCTGAACAAGTTTGTATAACTTTGACCTACATATTTATCGTCTGATAAAGTAAGTCATTAAAGAAAACTTTTCTTACAATTTGTGTTCATTTTATTTTGAACATTTAAATAAATGGCAGAATTTTATTCCTCACATCGCATTAATGTTAAGGTTATTTAAACAACACAATTTTACTTCAACATATTCTGATTCAATACATATTAAAATTTGTAGAAGAAAAAAATTTAATAGTTATTTACCGCGGAACAGTGAAAAATATTTTCAAAAGCACAATGGTTCGATATAAAAAGAAAATTAAACAAATGCAAATACAGTACGGCTAATCCAACTTCATACGAGTGTTAAAAACGTTAAAACAATGGCCTAACTTATAATAGTGTGTCGATGAAATTGGCAGCTAATTTCTTCTTGTACAGCAACGCGGCGTATTGTGGCCGCTTTTTTCTTTTCAGCCAGGAACTTTGTTTTCGTTACTTACGGTTGACATATTGCTAATGAATTGCTAAGCGATTATTTTGCTAATTACCATTAGAAGTTTACAAGAACATTTAATGCGATTAAGTAAATTAATAATTTCATTTGTCGTACATTTGTAAATTAAAAAAAAACCTCTTAAAGTCTATTTTAACTTCAGATCTTACCTTAATAACGTAACTTAAGGAATATTTGGGATTTCAGTTTCATACGATTTATCTTTTATGAAAGCAAAAAAAAATAAACTAATATAAAAACGGCTAAACACTCACGTACTGGTGTTATTTCGCGGACGCGGCTTATAAAATAATACGTCCCACTCACCCTGATGAAGGGCCTCCGAATGGCTCTAAACTAGTCGGTGCCGCCACCGGATATATACATGAGTGTTTTGCCGTTTTTATATAAGTTTATTATAATGTCTCACGAAAGTTTAAATAATTTTATAGCAAAACAAAATTGTTAAATGACTGTAAAACAATTTTCAATTATCAGCAATTTTATGCATATTAAATTCAAAAAAATAAATATCCTCACTTTTAACACTACAAATTCTAAATTACACTCGAAACGTACAATGCCAACGAGAAGTGGAATATCATAAAGCTTCCATATTAAAAGTATTCGCTAAGGTAAGTGTATTATAATTTCAGTCGTATATCGTAGACGGCGTGAAATGCTCCAGTACTTAGCCGCGTCCGTCTGGCTCGTAATAAAACCTCTCCACTTATCAAATAATATGCATATGGTATGGGATCTGTACAGACTAAAGTTTTGCAGAGAGAATTAAGTCTTCAGTGCCCAGACACTTTTCTTAGAATGCATTCGCAAAAATACTTTTAATTGGCTTTTATGAATCCAATAACATTTAAAGGGGCTTCACAGGGCCTTTCACCCTTATTCAAAGAAACGAGTCGCAGTAATCTACACCTTTTAACTTTATTTTTAGTCAAAATGACACTTTGAAACTGTTTGAAAATACCAAAATTTATAGTTTTCATCTGAAGAATATGCTATTGTTTAAATATTAGACACGATAAAACAAAGGACTGCAAAACTAGAGTGATAAAATATTTATATCGTCTTAAACATGTAGGCTAATTATTCAAATTAAATTACATTTAAAAAGTTAGAATAAGCCGCAGTAACAACGTCACTATTGGATTTGTATTTTCATGATTTACTTTACAATAAAACAAGCCGGTTATGAGATATAACATCGTATTGACAGAGATGTAGAGGAGCGGTAAACATATTAGTATACGTGGATAAGTCCTGGTCAAACGGAGTGCGGCGTGCGTGCCGGCGCGCCTGTCCGCGGGATATCAGCCTCGCTGTCCATTGCATAGCGCCCGCGTATTTGGTGCAAGGACCCATCGTGTTTGTGCACCGCTTACTGACCTAGCAACAATATCATTTGTTGTTATTATAACATAATTATCTCATTGTAATGTCGTGAACGATATCGAAACACTGAATGCGATCAAACAACTGCATCTTTATTGGCATAAGATTAATAGTTTAAGGATTGTGAAGTCTTTTTCCATGTTTGATATCTAAATTTATTAAACAATTATAACTAACTTAATTAAGAATCTTAAAGGTCAAGGATATAGATATATGTCTTCAATTAAGTTTCGTATTTTTAAGTATATAATACATAAATGATAAATAAATATAGAAACCGCTAATCTTAAGAACGTTGAAATGTTGAAATGGTGGGAACAGCGGACGTACATAAAAGTGCACGTGTTTACGGGCCCTGCCAGCCAATATCCAGCGGACTGATTGCTTCTTTACTGTTACACGATAAAAATTTTATTAGTTGGTCGTAAAATGTACCGACGAGTCGCGAGACCCAGTAGCCAATATATTTTAAACTGCCACGAGACTTTAAATGTTTAGACGTTAAAGAGCCAAGTTTGCGTTACGATTAATATCTTAAATAACTAATCGAGACGATGACGATTTGCAAATAACATAACTACTTTTAATTTTTAATACAATAATCTGTCAATTGTGAAAATATTTTCTAAAAGTAAATATTTGTTTTTTTTTTATCTTAATCACTTTAGTATTTAATAGATACGTCCCCTTTTTATTCAATAGACTTAGGCATCAGATGCACATTCGAGTACGTAATAAATACAAAAAGGCGCAAACTTTTCGTAATACTTTATGAATATGAAACACAGAAGCGCATACAAAAAATTGTGCGCTCGGCTGCGCAAACCGTCCAACTGTTCAAATCGTTTAGTAAACACTGGACATGCAGTACAAGAGGTACAGCGATTTTAATCGATTGGAAACGGAACAAAGTGAAAATGTACACCTCAATTATTCCGCCGGCCGCGACTCTAAAATAACTATTCGTCAACATGTCGGCTACGATAAGAGCTGTTTTAGACAATTTAAATTTTGGATTAAATGCTTAGATATAAAACAATATTTTTCACATTCTAACAAGAGTGCCCCTTACTGTACTGTATTTTTACATTAAGGTTTTGAGATGATGATAATAGTTTTACTAATGATATACTATTTGTGTACTAACTAATTATATTTAAAATAATAACTTATTTTTTGTCGAAACTCATAGTTAATTGACCTTTTTTTTATAAAGAATTTTTTTTTTAAATTTCATGCAATGTAAGACACGTTTTCTATTAAAATATTTATGCTATCTTCAAACACTTAATAACAGCGGAACCAAAAAACAATTTCGAACAATACAAGCGAACGGAAGAAGTAATTAAACTGCAGCGTTGTTAATATCAAAGTCCATTATTGAGTGAGCCTCATAGAAGAACTCAATAAAACATAAAGCTTCGGTTTGTGTCGCCGCGGACCGAGTCGTCTCCAATAAAATACAAATAGACTCGATTGAAATGCAGGACGAGCCGGGCTGTTTACTTGATGCCGATGCCGTCCAAGGCAACGCGTAACCAAGATTGCTTTTTTCAGTTTTCCTTTAGTTGTAAAATGTTTTCGTGTGAATTAAAATTGTTAATTGAAATGCTTTAAAATATGTTGCAATATAACCCAATGTTGTTGTCATGTACAATGTATTAATTTTTCCTTTGCTATTATATTTTTTTTCTTTTGTCAGTACTTTTCGAGTTATTGCTATGTACGTTTCTAATTTTGCTCTTAATTAATGCCGTAGTTAACACGCGTGATAGGCGTTAACATGTAAAGATTGTGGTAATGAGAAAAAACCATTCCATTTCATTTCGATAGTCGACATGAGATCAATATGGTGTAAGAAATATTTTTCTTCTTATAATGTAACTTTAAAATAAGGTTCACAAAAAATTCTATTACGTTTTATCTTTTACAGGTTTGCTTTTGATTTTTTCACTATCGAATTGTTTTGCTTGGGAAACATCAGCAACTTCTGAAGCATTGTCTGCTTTAATAGACAAGTTGATTGCACAAACAGATACTAAACCTATGCAGGAAAATATAAAATATAGAGAATCTGAAAATAACGCACGTGCAAAATTAAAGAACGATTCAAACGTTATATACTTAAAATTGGTGCCAAATGAAACATATAATTTGACTTTACAGCCAAATGCAACAAAGAGCAAAGAATCTGAAATAAACATTGATCAAGAAAAAAGTTTTATCGAAAGTAACATACAAAAAATTTTAAACTCGACAAACAATAAAGATGTCTTAAAGAAAATATTACACGATATAAAAATCAAAATAGATAAAAACAAACCAGAACAAGAAATAAGAACACCCGCTAATATAAATTCAAATGAAAATGAAGATCCATCAGCATATGAGAGAAACAGAAGTAACGGGTTTGTTGACTTACGCAGCAGTGAAAGTCACCCTAACATACTAAAAACTAAGAAAACTTTAGTACTTAATGATGACACAAATATAGAAAAAATAGTACCTGATGTTTTGAAAACTATTAAAAAACAAATACCTTCTATAGATGTAAATGATAAAGAAGAATTAACAAAAGAAAAGTTTGAGACAAAGCAAACAAAAGATGAAAATCTTTCTCCAATAGAACATATTCCTTCAAGAAGACGGTATACTTCGAATGAAGCAACAGCAAAAGACACAGTATCTCGAAATAATTTATTAAGAAATCCTTCGTTATTGGGGTCCCTGTATATTTCATCTAAGACAGTTCCAAAGTATCCGTTAAATTTGTGTGGCAATTGCAAACATGTAGGCCTTGTTAACCTACCGTTGAATAATCTAAAAAATAACGCAATGTTACAACAGGTTATGCGTAGAAAAATAATAAGTAATTTTGTCAATACGATAAGACCAAATTTACTCTATAAGAATTTTAACGGTATAAATTTAAAGTGAAAAGGTCAGTTTTATAACTAGTTTGTCTCAGTGCAAGCTCTCTGTATACTTACCTTATCTACAACATGACTATAACTTGTTGCTTGCTGTGTTTTCCTAAGGATTATATTAAAAATAATAACTGTAGCAGTTGTCAGCTTTTAATCTATGCATGGCATGCGTTTAGTTTATATAGAATACTAATGAAATATAGAGTTTTGCTTTCATAGAATATTATACTAAATATTTGTTTAATTTCATTCTAATCTTTTTCAAAGAAAATGACAGCGATGGCAATAGGAAACCTATGGTAATACTTTCATATTGTTGCTTTAAACTATTTTTTTTTACTAAGTAAATAATATATATATATATATATAGACTGAACAATATATATATATATATATATATATTGTTCAGTCGAGTTACCTGTTGATTCATTATTAAGTCATTAATTCTTTTAACGCCTTCCATGACAACCCAAACTTAATCAATTTAATTGCACAATCCAGTAACATTCAGCTAGTTAGCAAGTTTGGAATCTGAAACACAAAGAAGCTATCGGCAAATGGAAGTCTAACTAGTGATCAGAGTGCAAATACGATCAAACCGTAGCCCAAACTATGCTCAAAGATCTAGTTAGACCTCGGTGTGGCTCGTCTTCATTGAGGTGTTTGATGTTTACGCATCAACAAATGTTTAGATAATTTGTTACTGCATGTTTGTATTAAGATAAACATATTCCCTATTCTTAAGCAAATATTAAGAATGTTTCACAACTCCAATACTGAAAAAAAATACTGATAAGTAACGTATTAAGAAGAAAAATTGCGGGGCTCTAGAAGGGCTAACAAAGATTTCTACCTTATAAGTTTATTTATACATAAATTATATAAATAAAATTGTACACATTGTAAGAAGTATAAGACTCTCTACGCTCGCTCTGTCTACCATCATATTTTAAAAAAAGTTTAATAAGTATCATTAAAAGATAATACATAATTTAGACTATGTGTATTTAAATTTATTGTTAATAATTAAAAAAAAATATTATAATATCGTTACTTAAAAGGACTAAATAAAAACAAAAATTGTTCTAGATAATTTAAACGAGCCCAAGCTCGATATATATAACGTCCGTGTCGACCTTCCAGTTCTATTATCAGATTGGGACCATGTCACCATAATATTGCATTGCAATGCGAGTTACACGTATATCGTATTAATTTCTGCTGAATAAGTAACCGGGAAGTTCATTGAATTTCAATTCGATATATTTGATGATAAACACCGGGACACATGAAACTAAATAAAAGATTGTGATAAATGTGTAATGCACATAAATTAAATTACCACGGTGCAAAAAATAGAACTTAACATACTTCGCATTATCATGTAAAATATAAAAATGCAAATCGCTTCTGACGTAAACACTTCAATACGGAGACAGAATGTCCATATTTATTTAGCGGGAAAGTGATAAAAATAACATAAAATAACGGGAACTTGTCGATGTTTACGTCTTGAATATGACGCATATATGTTAAAGAATTATTTGTTAAAAGTTCTTAACACTCCTTTCATTTGAGGTGACAACATATTGGAAAATAAAAAACTAACTTACCTGCAACGATGCTGTATCTATACTTAAATTAATAAAATGATCCTTGACTTATATATCCAGATAAATGACTGTCATTTCAATCCTTTTTAAATTCTCTTTCAAATTGTGTAGATGAACGTAAAAAAGGTATGCACAAAGTGAAATGCATCTGCATAATTAAATGTTACGAACATTTCGCGACAACTCGTATCGCCGGCATCAGGTAACGGAAATATTCCAGGTTTGCGCGTTTCTCGCTTTTGCAGAAATTTTTCATAGCAAAGTGCACAATGGTCGCATTATAACAAGACAACTTCACACTCGCACGGGAGTAATCCTTAAGCGTTCATTTTCACGGCGCACGCTAATCTCTGTGTGAGCTTTCAATACCGTTTCGCATATAGAAAAGTTTCGCTGAAAATGTTTGAAACTTCTCATCGGGCGCGCCGGCTGAAGTTGCCGTGTTAATACATTTTCCTCTTTGTATCAAAACTTGATCTTTATTAAATATCTCATGCAAAACTAATAGCTACTTTAAATGTATTTGATGTATGTTCATTATGCATATATTTATTTACTTTTATTAAAAGATAAAAGTTTCGATAAGAACTACGGATTCATAGTTGACAGTTTTAGGTTGATTCTGTAAATAACACTTAAGAAACTAAAAATAAGATATGTCTTCTAAATTAGTTTAAGTTTAGTATAAGTTATATTTATTATATTTATATGTCTATACTATACTATACTCTGCAATTTTTTATATTATAATTGTTAACACAACATAAGAAACAAAGAAGTATTAAAAGTTTCATAGTAATTACTACGAAGTTTTATAAAACAAAACAACAAAGAAAATAATTGTTAGCAATTTTCTATCATGCTGCGGTAAATTAATACGTGAATCCTTTTAAACCCACAACGAAACAAAGTAAAGAGATCTCGTATAGTTTTAAGATACTTATTCAAATCCAATTTATTTTCCATTTCCTCACTTCATGAAAACTTAAATATGTTCGCAGGTGAACCACTCCGCAAGCAATCCTTTGATCGTTCTTATCTCTTTATGCAAATTTCTATCACACCATATTTTGATACCCCGTATTTTCATAGTTATTTTTTTTTATTCTCCTTATATGAAAACTGTTCCATTATGACGCTATTGTGGTTCAGTCCAATACTTTTTATGTAATCTATAGCAAACCGAAGAAAATTGTCTATCTAAGTGTTGGGAATTTAAAAAATATAACGTTAAGTCTATTCCTAAAAATTATTTGTCCAAATTAATAATCCCCAAAATATTGCTGCAAAAACTTTTTGGAGTCTGTACAAGAAATGTCGCGTTTACAAAGTTGAACTTAACTAGTCATTCACTTTTGTTCCAACTACGTGATTCTTGTAAGACAGCTGAATAGGTCTCCAACGATTATCTCTCAAATAACTCATGACTAAGTCGCTCTCAAAACTCATAAACAACACTTGAAGAAGTACAAACTTTGAATAAGTTATACAAACCCACTATACTACCAAAGAATAATTTGACGAAATCATAAAATCTGTTCATTTACTTCTTTTTTTGAAAACAAAGCGAAGAAAATCATAGAGGTTAAAGAGGCTTTTATTTTTTAACGAGAGCACATGCGCCGCGCGCGCGAGCTTACGATATGCTTGTTTTACACCACTTTGAAACGAGCCACTTACGAGCGGGCTTCGGGCCTGTAAGGAAAGAATCCGTTCGGGTTTATGTTTGTGGATTTTAAACAGTTCCCGCGAAATATTCCAAAGTTTTAATAGCCTCTCCGCCGCGAGCTGGTGTCTATAAACAGGAAAGTAGCGCAGTTATTCTTGAATTAACTAATACATCTGTTGTACTATAAACAACTGTATTAAGTTTCATTCGATTGTATAACGAAACAAAATCATTATTATTTAAGGAGCTTTAGATTTATTAATAAATCGGTTTTTATTATCTATATTATATATCTGTAATATATATATAGTTTTTATTATTAATATATAATTTTTTTTTTTTATTTTTAGAGTACTACATAATTATACAATTATAGTCAAATCTTACTGTTTCTTTAAGGGAAAGAATTAAATTATGCTTAGATAAGAATTTACATTTTCTTCTTAGATATCAAAATCACAAATTACTTAAAAAATATAAAATATTCCAAGAAGCTCCTCATCGAGAAGACCACAAATTTATTAAATTAACAAAAATTGATGACGAATTGTGATTTTTTTTGTCTAACTTTATCATACCTATAACGCAACAAAAGAAGATAACTTCAGTGTAAGTATTAAGTTGTTCACTTTTGAAGTTATGTAAGTTCAACAAATCCCCAGAAGCTTTCACTTGAAGCAATTTTACTCTGGTAAATATGACAAGCACTTTAATTAAATTTGATTCTCCCTTGAAATATATAGTTTAAGCAGCTTTTCGGAAATAAGCAAGTGCTTTATATTGCATTGTGACTTTTTATAGTAAATAAAAGAGAAATAACCCAAAGCATAAGTTAGCTATTTCCTGTACATACTCGTAATAAGTGCAAGGATTACCTATGAAGTTATCTCACTATTATATGGTAACCTTTGTATATCCCATTAAGGATTGGTTTTGACAATAGGAGTCAACATCAAAAAAGCATGCATAAATAATAAAAAATGACTTGACCAGTCATCTTTTATGATTTATATTATATATCGAATGTAAATTTGATTTCATAAGTAAGGACACCAAAAATTATAACAGGTAAAAAGAACACAAAACCCTTTTATATGCTTAAACTGAGTACTAATTGCTCGGTAACTTGACATGTTTTAATTTAGACTCAAGCTTTTCACGTTGAAGAGACGCGGCTTCCAAAATTTTCACAAAGTGCCATTCTTTGAACCGCCCCCGAAAGTGCAGTCAGAGGAAGGCTGTTAGACTGAATTGTCTATTATTTTTTAACTACACCAAAGAAGAGCTAAGTGCTACTTTAGATTAGTGTAATATTTTACACTTTTTGTCACTTATTTTGAAAATTAAAAATTAATTAATGTTACTTTTAAGATTTGAATAACAAACCAATAAGTCAATTTAAATAATGTTAAATTTATGATTATCATGAATATTTTACTATTTATTTTGAAATCATGTCATTTCAACAGCTCTCTAATTAATTGGACCTCCACTTAATCACCTAGTTCGAACTTAATTTCGACACGAAAAATTTATGTAATATTTCAGAAATTATTTAAAGCCACTTTTGATATTTTACAATAACAAGAAGATTTATAATGTCTTATTTTTCGGTTTTAAAGTAACGATGTTATTAGTAAAAAGGTTTATGGAATTTTTTGTGAACATTTCAATGTACGTACTTGATTTTTCATAGAGAATAAAATAGCGGAATTAAGAATATGATTTAATTTTCATGTACATTTAATTATATTTAAAATAATCTCTCTCTCCTAGGTTTGCAAA